GGGGTGGGGAGACGAGCCCCGGCCGAGGCGAGGGCCGCCCCTAGTCCTCTGCCTTCGTGCCGCATCCGGGCCAGGTGAGCGGCGGCGGGCACGCGGGGAGGGGGGCGCGCGCCGGGCGCGAGCGCTCGCCCCTGCCCGCCGCAGCGGCCCGTTGGCGGGGTGTGCGTGGGGCAGCGCCGCGGCGGACTTTTCCTGAAGGGAGAGAAAGGCGGAGCGGGGTGTGAGTGCGCGGGGTTTGGGCGGCCGGGCTCGGCGTAGCTGCCAGCCCCGGAGCCGAGCGCGTTCGCCTCCCTGCCGCCTGGCGTCATCCCACTGAAGGGACCCGGCTCGTGCTGTGCGCGCCCGGAGGCCACAGGCCTGTCACCCCGGGCTTTCCTCGCTGCCTTTGTGGCGGGAGCGAGGACGCCCGAGGGTGGGCTGAGGCCGGCGGTGTCGCGCCGCGCGCGCAGCGAGCGCGGAGGCGGAGGCGGCGAGGGGGCGCGCCGGGGCTCGGCTCGCGGAGGCCAGGGGGTCGCCCTGGGGTCGCCGGGCCCCGCGAACGACAGCGGGGAGAAGGATGGACGGCGCGCCGTTGGGGAAAGTTCGGAGCTTCCAGGGGAGACTGGGCGTTTGTCCATCAGTCTCTCGTGTCCACACCGAGTGGCGCTCATCACGAGCACGCGCGCGCGCGCGCGCGTGGGTCTCGGCCATCAGGTCGCTGTCCCTGTGCGTGGCCGAGGACCCCGATTACTCCTAGTGAAGCACAAAGGGTTGTGTTGACAGCTGACCGGACCCCAATAGACCAGGGTGAGGTGGGCCCTGGCTGGGCGACGGTGTGAGGCGGTCTGTGAAAGTCAGTCAGTCCATCCTCCGCCCAATGCCCCCCCCCCCAACCCAGCCCCGCAGTTCTGATCCCCATCGTGATGAAGGGAGCTGTATGGAGTCCCTGCGTGGGGATGCTCAGCGAAGCCGAGCCCACGCGACGTGCACTGGCACAGGGCCAGCTGCTTCCTCCAGCGGAGTGATGCGCCCTGGAGCAACTCCTCCACCGCCCGCCTGTCCTACA